TTTTACATTTTAAATGATATTGGTAATAATCTTACTGTATTCTTTAAGTGAAAAATATTTATAAAAAGATGTATGTTTTGAAGTAACAGATAAATGAAATAGAAGAATTGAGTTAAAAAACATGGTATAATGAATATTGTGAAAATAGCCACAAAGAGGTGTGTTCAATGAAGAAAATATGAATCAAAAGGAAGCATATTGCATCATAAAACAGGAATTGGTGAGGAATATGGGGATGCTGAAGTAGGTATTATCAAGAAGAATGATAAAATTCTCAATGATAGGTGGGTCTCTCCAAACATCCAATAATCAAATATGGCATCAAAATGACAAGCTAGAGCAAAGAATCTTGACAGATAAGCAAAACAGAGCTTCCCACAATTTCCTGGAATGATTCTGAAAGACTTTCTGACTCTAACTAGGTGAATACAAATAAGGCTGACTGGGCTATTTAATCAGAAGTATCCTTAACTTTTGGGAAGGGAAAAGAGTGTTTGAAACTAGGAGCTGCTAGAAGTATCTCTGGCAAAGACCAGCAAGAAGAACAGATGAAAATGAGCTTGAGCCCACACTACCTACATACACCTTCTTGGGTAACTGAGGTCGAATGTTCCCATGCTGACATGTTCTTCAAAAAATAGGAAAGCAGGGCAAATTCTAGTTAACTGAGCTTAAGATGTAAATGATTAAGATGCTTCAATGAGCAAGATCCATTTCCCTGATACTGAAAAAAATGGAAATTCTTGACTTGGGTGGAGATCACTTTTATAATCACAGAGAACATTATTCTGCTTGTGATTGGTAAAACACAAACACACTGTATCTGACTTAGTGACAGGCCTCTGCTCCACTTATTTAAAGGACATACTGCCATTCTACAATGAAGAAATTCTCTCTTTCCCAGAAGACCCAGAAATATTTAAGGCTGTACTAGAAAAGCACTTTTACTGGGGTAACGAATCTAAAATAGATGCTAGTTTCTGAGAAGCCAGCAATAAATAAATCTGAAGAATCAGTATACCTTTGTGAAATATCTACGAAACATTAAACATGAATAATCACATCAAAGTATAAATGCACGATAAATAGTGAAAGCATAATCTTATTCATTATTACTCATGTCCTTGCTCTTCTTTCAATAATGACCTTTATTCTTCATTTAGAAATTCTACTTAAATAAAAAAATATATTTTCTAAATCCAATTGTCTTCAATGAAAAACTCTACAGGAAGTTGCTTTAATTTTACTGTTCTTATTTTATTTTGTTTTTAAAAGCTCTCTTGAATTATTAGAATTTTAAAATACAACTGGCTAGGTATTGAGTTTGGGTAGATATTTTCGATTCCTTGCCTCATTATAAAATATGATGACCTTAGTGTCTTCAAATACTTTCTTTAATTAATACCACTTATGTTATCTTGAGCAAGTTACTCCTCTGTTTTACTTTCCAGATTTGGAGAATGGGGAAAACGTGTAAATTATGCTGATGAATGTAAATGGTTTAGAGAAGTCCCTGGCTTCAGTAAGGAATATGTATAAATGAGTTACCATCATTCGCATTATAATTAATATTTCTAGTTTATTTCATATATCTCAAGCAGCTCCTATTCATATAATTCTACAGCTGACACTGATATAAAAGCGAGGATGTGGGGAAAAGGTACACTCATATGTTGTTGATGGGACTGCAAATTGGTGCAGACAATATGAAAAGCAATATGGAGATTCCTTGGAAATCTGGGAATGGAACCACCATTTGACCCAGGTATCCCTCTCCTTGGACTATACCAAAGGATTTGAAAACAGCACACTATAGGGTCACAGCCACATCAATGTTTATAGCAGCACAATTCACAACAGCTAAACTGTGGAGCCAACCTAGATGCCCTTCAGTGGATGAATGAATTTAAAAAATGTGGCATATATACACAATGTAATTTTACTCAGCAATAAAAGAGAAAAAAATCATGGTATTTGCAGGTAAATGGATGGCATTGGAGAAGATAATGCTAAGTGAAGTTAGCCAATCCCCCAAAAACAAAAATGCCAAATGTTTTCTCTGATATAAGGAGGCTGACTCATAGTAGGGTAGGGAGGGGGAACATGGGATGAACAGATGAATTCTAGATAGGGAAGAGGGGAGGGAGGGAAAGGGAGGAAGCAGGGGATTAGCAAGGATAGTGGAATGTGATGGACATCATTATTCAAAGTAAAGGTATGAAGACATGAATTGAGTGTCAACCTACTTTATATACAAATAGATATGAAAAATTGTGGTATATATGTGTAATAAGAATTGTAAAGCAAAAAAACAAGTACATGTATAAAGACATGAATTGGCATGAACATACTTTATACAAAGATATGAAAAATTGTACTCTATGTGTGTAATAAGAATTGTAATACATCTGCTGTTGTGTATTTAAAAAAATAAAATCAATAAAAAAAGGAAAGGATTTTTTGTTATTTTCAAAAGAACATTCTCTTTATTTTACTCAAAAGTGGGTACACTAGATAGTGCTAAATTAAACAGAAAGAGTCCCTATTGTGTTCTTCCTAATCAGTGTCCTCTATAAAGAGTGGTCACAAATATATAGACTACAAATCCAAGCTTTCAACTCAGGATACCAAACAAATACCTAATATAATGACACTATAATAATTCAGCTTTTGCATAATCACGTGAAACATTTCTAATCATGCCCACAGTTCTGACATCATTCCTTGCAAACCCCTCACATTCCCTGCTTGTACTCCAGATAGTCTCTTGCTCTCCCTTCCTCTCAAGTTGGTACCACTCCAGGTGCTCCCCCTACAATAAAATTCCCCTTATTCCTTAGTATCTGATTCAAATATTAATAGCTTATTGTGCAAAAAGCCAATTATGTTTTAATTCTGTGCAATCAAATTTCTAAGGATTAGTCACCTTCTACTCTGTGCTATGGCTATTTAAGTACAAGCATTAAGGATACATGCATTTAGGTTCATATATACTTGATGCTGGAGAAGGATTAATACTCAGCTTAATTCATGCCCTTCCTAACCTTCTACATAGTAGAAATGGATCAAACATTGGAAAATATAAAATTGTGGGTGAATTCAGCCTAAGATACACAGTAAACAAAATATAAGTGCTCTGGTTATTTTTATGAATTGCACGAACTTTTTCACTAAACTATTAAGAAACAGAATTCTCATTAGGTTATAATTCAAAACTTTGAACATGATCATGTGATTCATTAATAACTAATATATGAATCATCATATCACCTAACATTTGACATTAATGAGTGCTAGGTATCTTGTTAGAAAGTTGGATATGTGAACAATAAAATTGCTCTTGCTTATTCAACTGATAAAACAGGAGGTAGGCTGTGTGTTGTCTTTGTTTTCTTTTGTACAACTTGCTTTATCAAAACCCAATGACTTTATGTAATCTGTGTTTATATAACATAAGAACATATATTTAACAAATTTATGTTTATATAACAATATATAGTTATATGTATTATAATTTATGTAATAAAAAATGCTCAGCACTTTAAATTGGAAAAGTAGCCAGTTATATTATTGAAATCTGGACAATTCTCAGATTTATTTCCACTAACTACTGAATATAAATTGATTTTAACCTCCACTATCAGTATAGTATTTCAATAGTAGTTTTTATGTAATTTTCAGTCTATGTTTATAATTATGTGTGAATTGAAATCCTGAAATACCTAGACAGCTCAAAATTGAGGAGGCATTTTGCATAAATTATGCATTTCAAATAAAAATTGACTCCCCCAATTCTTGTCTATAGTGTACACATCATTGCTTTAATAGTTTTAGCTTCATGTTGTATGATCATATTTATCTCTTAGGTACTAGTTGTATTCTAAGTTTTATTCTTTATATGACGTTTTTACATTTTTGTTTTAAATTTAGACAATTATTAGTTTGACAATGTATAAAGTTAGAAAAAGTGAGACATACATTGAGAAAAATGCTTCACAAAATGTTTACGAAGAATAAACTCTTTGTAGGAAAGACTGGTTAGCTAAGCATAAAAACTCAGAAACTAGTGTGCATAAAAATCAATGATATTTCAAAAGGAATGCTGTTTTCAAATCAAATGACCTGAGGAGATATTTAAATTCAATTAGAAAAATTTTAAATTTACAGTTTTAAGACTCTGTTGAAAATTGTTAAATTTAAAAATTTTTGGCTGAGACATTGCTCTGATTCACACATGAGAGTGA